AACAATTATTCATGCCGTTTCCTAAGTACTCTATGCATTTCCCGATTCCTTAAACTGTCCAGATAAAGTGCACCGAAGAGGAAAACATAAACCAAAAGTCAGTAACACGGACGTAAGAAATAGTGTGAATAGAAGTGAATGAGATGAGTGACCTTCTATCCCTGTAGTACGCTTAACTAAAATACTCATGTATATGAATGAGGCAAAAAGTTGTGTGACTGACTTGATATGATCATGAGCAATAGTTTGTGCTCAAAACGCCACCAAGTAATATTGCTGTACAACACTGTGTGATTTATCAAAATAAAATCGTATCCATAATGGAGTTATACTCTACCACAGTGCCCAAATTTTATACTTATGTCAAAAATACTTATCTTATGTGTCTCCTAATTGTTTCCTTTTTGTCTTCCTCATTGCAGGTTGTCAGTCTCCGTAGACATTCTACTAGATGTCGTCATACATAGTGTCTGCAAGCAGTCTTTCAATACATCTACCTCCCGCAAAGTTATTGTTACGATGCCTTTAAATCATTTACACTTGGCCGTAATACAATTAGTGTGCTAATATTACTGATGCAATGACATGCAAGACTTGTACATGTTACTGTGAAGTTAGCTTGTAATAACATTCCCTCCATAGTAAATAGAATGCTTGTGATAACAATTCGTCATTATCTTTTCATTGTGTTGATAGTTGCGTATATATTAGAAAAAAGCTAACCTTGTCGTATCAGTTCTCTAAATTACAATCACTAAGTGCCCATACCTCTGCTGAATACCAAGTGCTACTCGTGGCCCATGAAATACTTATTACTGCATTCGGAAATAACAATCAAACTATTATTACATGGAGTAGTGAGACAGAAGGCGTATGAAATTTAGATATTAGTGTGTATCTGAAGTTAACGACACAATATATATGTGGATTTTTCATTTCCAAACTAGAGAATTTTATAGGGTAATGTAGGAGTGAGCGCAATGAGTTAATAATGTATTCTTTACTGCATACATCTTGTATGAGTGAAATGCTTCTATTCAATTTTCGGCGAAGCTTCAATATCACCCTGCAGGGTTTCTTCAATGCACTCTCATAGGGAATAATACTTGGTACTGAGGAATCCAGCCAAAAGCATCTGTGACACAGTCGAATGACTTTTTCAACTAAAAGCCGCAATACTGATATTAAGTGTGATTTACTTGTAAACTGAGGGACTCTAGTGTAACACAGCACCATATCCCAGCAGGGTATTCTTTGTGTTTTACAGGTACAAGTAGAATTCATGGACTGAGCATTTGTTAAATATGGAGGCGACCCATTGAGTCACTTAGACGAAAGGCTGACGAAATGCGATACCTTACACACGCACTTTCAGATGTAGGCATGTGTCACTTCACATGAACTCTGGGCCATATCGAGTAGGCATTCCTTTAAATTAATTATTGTTCGTATATGTGATGACTTGGTGCGTTTCCTAGTTTGCCTATAATTACGGAATGTACATTATATTAAGGAACACAAATGGATTTTGTGAAAACCAGTGGTGTTCCTTCTCTAGTCTTAATTGATGTCACATTGATTGACACGATTAAAGGAATAGATTGTAACGTGGTGTTTTCTGTAGCTGCGAAACGTAATTACCTAGTTTCGAATTGACATCATGCGTCTAATCCTATTAACCTATGTATATAGTTCTACCTTCACGAAACCTAGAAGTCAGGAGCAGACTCTCTTTGACAGATCTAGTTTTACTTTGTGACTAATTGGTGAGTCACCTGGTGTTGTGGTAGTAAAAAACAACTCCAAACCTTAGTATTTTCTAGAAATGAACATATTTACTTACTTTGGCGACAATTTAATCTTAGGGATATTAACCTTTACTTAGTAATTTGGATCCGAAAGTAAACGCCATGTTACTAAGTTATTCAAAAGACAGAATGATGAGTGAAACAGTACTCGGATACTTATTCTAACGAAACCGAATAATGATAATCGTTTAGCTTACCAATATGCCGCTTACTTTCAGTCTTAATTCAAAGACAAATTTAATTGCTCACTAAATTAATAGTTCCAGAAGACTGCTCTACTCCTGTCTTCGAAATACTTTACCCGATCGTGTTTTACTTCAAAATATGTGTATACTGGCCAGCTGATGTTGCTTATCCAGTTACACTGTTTTTCAGTTACAATGTCCCATCTATTTCCTATCAAACAGAACATCCCTTAAACCATCAACGAGTTACCATCATTTCTAAATAAATAACCTTAACTATTCGCATGTAAACAATGCTATAAACTTTATCACTTACGTGATGTTTCAACTTTCGATTAATCAGTTTTCCCTTACATGAGCACCTGTTTCAATTTTAACGGATATTTCTAACCTTTGACTACTGAATTAGTACGTTTCGTTATATACCATCCATACGAAATATAGGTACTGATAATAATTACTGCTAACAGATTTATCACGAGAATGTACTCCATATTGACGACAATATTCCTCAGGGGCGGACGTATCTTCTAAACGCGCTACTCAATACCACACATGACCCTAACCCCCTAACTCTGTAGCTCACAAAATTCTATTAAGTTAGTAGTGACTATTAACAAGTAGAATGTCTATTTGAGGTATAGAGAATACATTTATTAGTGATTCGACACAAAATACAAAATCAACGGTACTGGAAACCACTTTCTTCAGCAACGAATCCCACGAGGTCACTGGGACTACAGATTATCTAAAAAAGAAAACAAGGGTTCACAGGATGTATACATGAATATAACTACCAATATAATATTAACGAGATAGCACAGTAAGAATTAATGAAAGTTTATATCGATGTGCGATTACATCAGTCACTATTTTTGACACAAGTGGATATTTAGACGAAGTAATAAGAAGACGTAATTTGTCTGAGTCGTGTAGTGTTGTATTTGTGCAACACATTTTGGACAATCTGGTCACGCATGGACTTGTTATAGGAATACATATGAGATTAATACAGTTAAAAGTCTAGAAAATAAATTTAGGTGGAATTAAAACCACATATTGGAGGTCAAAATAACAATGAAGATCACTAAACCAAATATCAGAGGTACTAGTACATCTACCCTGACTAGTATCAAAACGAAGTTTAACAAAGAAGGTTTCGTGTGATGACGAATAGTCTTGGAATTCACAAAAGTGGTTTAAACTTCCTAATCACACTTCGGCTTCCACAAACTTTAGGATGCAATCCAAACACGTTTTACAGATAGGTTTAAAAAATGTGCAAACGTCAGTTTTATGTCCTGTCCCTATAATATGTTTCGAAATAGAGGAGCTGGGACCCCATTAATAACTTCTGAAGATTCTGTTGCTTCTGGAGGCATTTAGGAATATGATGCGTAGCCCTTACTTGCAGAAATCGATGAGCCTTCCCTAAATGGATACAGCAATTACTTCTAAACCTTACGTCCATAGCTTTAAGAGATGTCGGACACTACTTCTACGTGGTTTTAAAATAATTTTGTGAATTAACTTCGAACAAGCGCGAATAATGTGGCGTCAGGACAATAACAAAAATCGGAAGTTTATGAAACCAAACTCACTAATAGGAAAAAATGACACACACGTCAGATGTCTTTACGTACCTGATCACGAGGATGGTATTGAAATCCACCAAGTTACTAAAATGTTGCAGTGTGCATTTAACTCATTTAAAAATTTTGGCAGAAAACACTGAATGTTGTAAGTGATCGTAAAACATATTACAGTTTCTTCCCATTTGTGAACACTAATTTTCGCTTGTATTTATGCATTCCATTGACTTTCAGCTATCAAAACACCACACAAAAGTGCGGAAGGATGCAAAATTTGATATCAACCATATTCTTCGGTTCCTGCAGCAGTAATAGGTACTGCACAAATGCTGATAGGGAAATTTGAGACCGAGTACAAGTTTCCGCCAATCTGCAAAGAAATTTATCGAATGACAGTCGTTGAAATGTACGCGAACCTTACTCGGCATGCCAAAAATCACTGCATGAACCATGTATTTAAGCGTCCTGTCACACAAGAAAAAGTAGATGCTCAAGAACAATATCGAACAATAATTTTCATATAAATTCATCCAACAAGAGCAAAATAAGCACCGAAATCGCGCCTACTGCGTTTGCTGGACGACTAGCTCCAACTCGAATCAACGAAACCGCGCAAATGCCGTCAAGGTTAAGCCAGAGGCGCCACTTCAAATAGGGGATATGCCTTATCAACGCCCCTGGAGTACTAGTGAGAAGTTTTAGCTAGTATAGTCTGCAAGATTGAGTGTGAGACCAAGTGATCGCTGTTCACATTCGCTGCCACTGGTGATCAAAACTGTGAACTGACAGAAGTTAGAATTCACCGAGCACTGGATTCCGTCCTTTCACCTCTTAACTTTAAGGTTATGGGTTTGGTCCCTAGTGGAATTATAGCTACTGACTACCTGAGAGTGCCAGACTAAGACGAAACAACTGTCTAGTACACCTTGGATTTGAGTAGTTCTCAAACTGATATCCATCCATGAACATACCTGAAACCATGTGATTCCTTACAAACTAACACTTGAAAACACTATTTCACTGGAGAAACATGTGAAGTCATTGATAAGAATGACCACTATATATAAACAAATCAAAATCATAAGTTGTTAACGTTTAATAAATTTCAGAATTGACATGTGTGAAATGCTAATGAAACACCTAGAAAATCTGAGGAAAGGTTAACAGTAAGGTAGTGATAACTAAAAACTACATAAGTTAACAAGATATTTTTCTCTTCCATATAAATTGAAATACTACTGAAAAGTTTTACATTAGTAAGAACATTAATTCATCAACTAAGGCAACATCATCACGACTAGGTGAACATATCTAATGGATGTCATTATAGTTTCTAAAAAAGGAAAGAAAATCAATTATCTTTGATAGACTATAGCTAAATTTAAAATTATCTTGATCAATAAAAATATGAATTAATGTATAATAATCAATTGAACTTTACGGATGGTAAGTATTATCCATATGATTGTAAACAGTGTTGTTAGATTTCATCATTTTCTTAAAGATAAAAAAACAAGAAATACCTACTCATTAATATATGTATATACGTGTGAATAAAAATGGTTTGGTAACAAATGGAATTAAAGTTACCTGATCTCATAAAATCTTAAATATTTCCTTTCTCATTTTGAAGACAAAGCTGGGAGATTTAGAGGTTATTATTCCTCACTAACATTATTTCAAAGTAAATTATTCAGATTTTTGGTAATAACTATCAGAAGTGTTTTGAAATGATTCAATGTATAGTTTTCTTGAGACATTAACTTGATTTATGGATAAAATAAATTTATTATTTGTTGGAATTAATTGGAATACTGAGAAGCTAAATTGTTTGATCCCTTTTGACATATAAGTTTTTAGTTCAGATGTTTGGGTGATGGTTTAGTTTGGTATCAGTCTTTGATTGTTGGTTGGAGGTGAGCTAAGGAGACATCAACTACTTAAATCACTTCTACAAGAGATTAAGAATCAATGGTTGGCAATATGTTAGTAATACGGCTCAAAGTAGCTCTCAGTGGCGCAAGTGCATTCACTCCTTATGAATATTCAGGGTCATTAAATACTTATTATTCTTCATGTAATTCTTTCTAATATGGTTTGATTGCATTTCTTCCGAGTACCTTTATATCTGCCTTGAGGAGGTAAAGCGTCTCGAACTACTGAATGTCTGTGCAAAGTTCCACATGCGTAATTCAGCCATTCATCAAAATGAATATATGTAAATCATTCATGCTAGCCAATAGTGCAGGATGATGTCATCACCGACTGGCTGTTTTTCTTTCTTTTTTTGGTGGTGGTGGTGGTGGGGGGTTGATGCAAGTCGATGGTGGAAAGCTCAGTCCTATAAAACGATTCAGCTCTTTGAAGCGATAAAAAACATAGATGCTCATAAGACATAATTTCACATTACATTTAAAGTACACATAAAGTATCGCCTATAATGATTGGCAGAAAGTATAATTTTTTTCCAGGTTACTTATTGGTCTGACATATTCTAACATTTTTGAATTCTGGACATTTTTTCTGAGCTACACACTAAGAGTAATATAAGAATATAAAGAATAGTCCATCGTTTGCTAAATATTTTATGATTCCATTGAGTATCTCTTGTAATAACAGTCTAAAAATGTCTAATAGCTTAGTAAATTGGTAATTAATGCATTTCATATTAAACTGAAATATCTTTTAAAAATACCAAGTTGTAATTGTAAATAAATCTAAGGAAACAAATATAATCATGAATAGTTAAAGCTCTTTTATTAACCATTCTGTCGGAAGAAAATCTAAATAATTTCGGTATGTCTAATGAAATTTCGATATCCCCTGTGAACTTCAATTGTTACTTGTAGTCTTAACTAAGCTAAAAAGTAGTTGGCAGTTTATGTTAGAGAAATAAACGCTTTTTACCTAAATTCTTTTCTAGATTTTGTACTAACCGCCATAAGTTTACATGTATCCCATGTTGTGAAGAATAGTAAAGGTGTCCGGCATCAAAATTCTACGTGTCCAATGTCAGAAAAGCATACTTATCATTCAATAACGGCCTTATTGTCATCATCGTCGGCACCACCGGCAACAATAAAGTATGCAATTGAAGATGGTAGATCAATATTAGACAATAATAGTAATAATAATGATAAGGATAGAATTCTACAGTCACATGTGAATCACAATAACAATAATAACAGTAATGTTATCCTTCATAATAATATTCGTGATGATTCCAGTATTACGTCATGCATTAATGCACGTTTAAAATCATCGATGGGGAATTCCAGTAATAATAATGGTCGTAATAATGATAATATTTCTTCATTTCACATAAACTACTCAAATGGTAATCAATACAATAATAATGATATCGTTAATAAATATTCTAGACAATGTCATCATGTTAACAATGTGAACAGAGCACTTATTCATTCATCTAACAATTTTTTTAGCCATAATTCTAATACTACTACTACTACTAATAGTAGTAGTAATGGTAACACTGGTAAATATGATATGCATAATATAAATCGTCATCACACTGTATATTCAGAAAAACTTCACTCCAGTAATTCTGTTTTCATTCATGATAACAGTACTAGTATGAATAATCAACTATTAAGTAAAAATACACCGCAAGCAATTGCATCCTCCTCCTCCTCATCATCATCATCTAAAGCACTGAGTCATTCATCCTATACGAATTATTCTAACAATGTGACAAATTTTACAAAAAATTTATTTATCAATGATGTAAACAATCCAATCCAATCTAGAGGAGCATCAGCCTCTGGGATAGCTGTTACAGCTATATCTTTACCTGTGACTTCGTCAATACTACCGCCAACAAATTCGTCAACGAATTTATCAAGAGTGAATCATTCTCTTGGACAGAATTATTTAAATTATTTTAGACATCATTCAACTAGAGCCAGTCCAATTACAGTAAGTTCATGTTTTTGTTTTTTTATTTTCCAAGATAATTCTAATTATTTGTTCAGACTATTTTAGAAAGACTTTATTAGTAAATTTATTTACTGGATAAGATTGATTGTTAACATACTGGTTAAACTGTTACTTGTCCATTTAAACTTTCTAACGGATTAAATTGCTGTTTCTGTTAATACCAGTAAAAAGTTTGAGCATTGTGGATTAGATTAAATAAAGTATAATTATGTTTCAATAGTTTACACACAATGATAAGTTTTGTTATTGGTAATATTTCGAGCAAAATTACTGCCCGTGTTCACACCACTGTTGGAATTGTTTTATTCACACATTTATGATTTGTACTCATATATATAGTTCATTATAATTTTTTGTGCTCATTCATGCTTTTGTATTCAGAATCATATTCCAAGTTGTTGATAGTTGTACTGAGTCACCCTTGTTACATGTATCCGGTGTGACCTTAATGAATATAGATTCTGTTATAAGTCTCTCTTTCCATTTGTCCATGTTAGTTTTTAGAATGCACACATTGTTCCAATCGATATTGTGGTTTTTGTCCCATGCATGTGCAGCTATCGATGAATTTTTTCAAGATTCTTGTAGGCTTGTGTTCCTGTTGGTTGACCTTTTGTTAGGCAGTTATGTTCATTCACTCTTATTTTGAATGATCTGGACGGACAGTCAGCACAAGATATTTTATAAATCAAATTGTTTTTATCCATCATTTTTATGGGATCTTTCAGTGGACTTATTTTATTTTTGATTAGATTCGTCGGTTTAAACGTTGTTCGAATGCCAATATTTTTGAGGTTTCTTTGAATTGCCTCTGATGTACCATTTTTATATGGTATTGTGACTGTCTTTTTCCACTCTTCTATCTTGTTATTCTCCAGTTTTTCCCTCTTTTTTCTCTTATTTATATTATCTTTTATAAATTCTTTAGGGTAGTTGTTTTCGAGTAGCATTTTGAATAGGACTTTTATTTTTTTTACACTGGTCCTCTGGTGTTGTTGTAAGTCTACGTATTCTATCTGCAAGACCTTGTATTAATCCTCGTTTTACCGTGAGTCGATGAGCTGAGTGATAATCAAGGAATCTTCCAGAGTGTGTGGTTTTTCTATATATAGTAGTTTTTATGCTACCATTTGTCATCCTTTGTAGTTTGCAGTCTAACATAGGCAGTTCCCCAATTTCATTTTCTAATTCCATAGTGAATTTTATTGAGTCGACGTGGCTGTTTATGTGTGAGAAAAGTTTCTCAGTATCGTTTTTTTCACTATTACTAGTGTGTCGTCTACATATTTCCACCAAAATTTTAGTGATAACCTGAATGGTTTAAGGGCATTCTCTTCCCAATAATCCATGAATATGTCAGCTATTATTGGTGAGATAGGCGATCCCATAGCTACTCCCTCATTCTCTTGGCATATTTTCCCTTCGAATGTGAAATATGCTATTGTCAGACAGAATTCCACCCCTTTTATTATATCTTCCACGGATAACTGTATTCTGTCTTTCAGGCTATTATCTTCTTTTAGTTTCTCTTTCAATACTGTTCCTGTATTAAAAGGATGTATATACAAAACTGTCTGATTTAGATAAAACAACTCACCGAGATTTAATTTAACATTATTATGATTCATTTTGTGTTATTCAGTTTTAGAAAACTTTTAGGAAACAAAGAATTATACTATTGTTTAACTTTGATTTTAAATTATTAATAACAATAATTTGCTTTATTCCAAAACAGTACTAATGCTAAGTGTGGAATTTTTAGGATTTGGTACAATATTGCATCTAATTTTATCGAATAATATTACAGGATTGTTAATGGCAGTTCTTATTTGTTATTTGTAATAACAGTGAAGTCATATATATATATATATATATATATATATATATATATATATATACAAAAAAATAATAATGTTAGTAGCTAAGGTGGTCAGTTAATTGAGAAAGTGTCACCATAGATTACAAATAGGAGAACCTAAACCCAAGGCTTCCTGCTGATTGACTCCAACCATCTAATACCAACAATTAACAGTGCAGCATGATAGCGAGCGACCTTGCATGTTGATCACATTGCAAACTTGACTGATAGAAGTCAGTCTGTACCAAAGGTAGGACTAATTACTCACTAATGTTCAATCGGAGAATAAAATAGCTGATTAGCTTTCTTGCAATACAATAATTCAAATATTTTGCCCTTAACATTTATTTATCGCATAGAACACTGGCCAAATATGGTATTGTTGAGTTCCTATACTTGTTAGTAAGAGTGTATAATCTTTTGTACTGACTTCTAGATCTACCAGGTGACATACAACGGGAGAGTTGAGAATAGAGGGGGTTTTGAGGGCCAGATAATATGGATTTAGATCAGGTGTCTATCAAATAACGTAGTGACAAGCTGACTAAGTTGCACACGACTTACCCAACTGACAACCTCTAATACGCTTCTCAAAATGACACAGAACTTTTTGAGTAGTCTAGGAAAGACTAAAGGGCAGCAGTAAAGTACACTGGATAAGATACAAGAGTTAACCATTTGTAAAAGTAGAGGTTGAGTGATTACAGACTTTCTTAGCTTCTTAATGTAGTAGCTTAGACGGAACATTTTCTTGGAGATTAACAAAGTGTGGGATGAATAAGTAATGTCAGAGGATAGAACTACACCAAGGTACTTTATGTTAGATTTAGTATCTGTTACAGTCCCCTCTTTGCCAAAGGCATCATCTGTACTAACCAGTCTTTGTAGATCACGTTTATCTCCTAAGTAGAAGTCAGTAGTCTGTCATTTTGGGGGATTTAATATAAAACCAATTTGCTTGGACTACTGACTGATGTTCGACCAAAAGCTATTAAGTTTGCAACATTCAGATCGTCAGTGTATTTCTGACAAATTTAGTTTCATTCGAAAGAAATAAGTCATGTAAGAAGAAAGAAAAAAGAAAGGGATAGAGGAAAACACTGTACGGAACGCCAGCTACAATAAGCAAGGCAGAGAAAGATACATTCGTATACACAACATACTGCATTTTATTAGAGAAACAAGAATTCAACCAGTTAACAGCCCAGGACTCATTAAAAATTACACACTTGATCATTAAACGTTGATTAGGGCTTAATAATTAAGTAGTTACATTGCTTAGACTGAAATGTAAGTGGTATTTAAAAAAATGTCACAACTCCTTTTTAAGTATATTTGATAGGAACACCTCCAAATGAACTTCAAACAAATAGCGCTCTAGATAATTCTATTTTGTCCGATAAAAAACTATTGGGTCTATTCTAAATGAAAACACAATATATTTATATTATCAAATGAGGTTGAATTTGGTAAATTTCATGGAGACATTCAAAAAATAATGACAAAATAAAGCTAAAAACTATCACCATATGTTAGACAGACAAGACAGTAGAAGGATGGAAGCGGGAATAAGTTGGCGACAATGATGAATAACACGTTCGGAACTACAAAGACAGTAGAGAATAAGTATTATTGCTTAAGTACAATAATTTTCTAACCACATTAAACAGATATGCGAATTATGTATTCTCAAATACTCATTCAAGGATTAATTAACCGGACTATATTCTCTCACATTTCATGGATTATTGATTTTGTCTGTTTTGAATATTCACAGTATCTATGATATAGCTGAAAATGTTTTACAATGGTGTCAATGTATTTATTCCTTTTTACCTGAAATTTTAACTCTTATCTCTTCTTGTTGACTACCCTTCAATCTGCTTATCTGAGCATCCTGTAATTTCATGGCATTTTCTTTGTACTTTTTTTGTATCTGTTTGCCTTTCTGAAGTGTGACCAGTCAATTTGTGAATTCAGTTCATTTTGCCTATTTTACACAAACACATTGTTAGTATTATTATTTCCTTCATAATACTATATGTCATTAAGAAGCGGAAATCAATCGCATATCTTATTTACACATAGTCAAATTAGGTTAACATATCTCACCTTTATCTTATCTGTTTTGATGAACGGAGAATTCGGAAATCAGTTCACAAAAAGGAAAAATAGTTAGTGGCAAAGTAAAGCGATCTTTCAACAAATCATTTTCAAACACTTTACAACCAAGAAGTAAGCTGTAAAAATGATTGGTAAAATAGAAGAAAATTCTCCTCCTTATGCCTGCTTTCTTGTTTGTTTTGACCTTACAGTATTAAAAACGTCCACTTCATTTACTTTGAAAGTGATCAGATAAGAATGCTACTGCCTCTCCTTAATCCATGATTTTTCTCTATCAAGGACTGACCTAATTATTCCTTTAGATAAAGAGAATCACAACATGAAATTTAGAATGAGGTTATAGGCTTCATTTGAAAAACTTTTGCATAGTGTAAGAAACTGATCAATTATATCCGATAAATATAATATTGAGTTATAAGTATTAACTAGTTTTGCTAATTGAATGAGAATATTTATTAATTTTTCTTTTAGGTTCAATGGCTTTTAGAAAATTATGAATCAGCTGATGGTGTTAGCTTATCAAGAAGTGCCTTATATTCACATTATTTAACTCATTGTTTAGAGAATTGGTTAGAACCAATGAATCCAGCATCATTTGGTAAATTGATCCGTTCAATATTTGTTGGATTACGTACGAGACGACTTGGTACACGGTAATTATTATTACTATTATTATTATTATTATTGCCAATAGAATATAATATGTGTATAAGAACTTAAATTATCTATTATTATTATTCCTTTGGATTTGGTGTCATTCCGACGACCTTCTAAACGCATGCCCCATTCATCTCCATTTACTTCTACATATTTGTTGAGCAACAGGCTCTTGGTTGGTTTGTTCTCAGCTAGAGTATCTTGTGGCTAATTCTTTCCACGGGCCATTTGATCTTCACTATACGGCAAGCGAAGGCAGGTGTTAATAAGAGTTTGCTGTGGCCTGTTGGAAATCCTTTTCGTGACACGCAGTGCATTTTTCTGACGCACACAGAAGAAGTGACTGGCTGAATATTTGTGTTGAAACTACGAATCTTCTTCTTTATGTTGCTGAGAGCTGAAGATTTCCAACTGACTTCAGACTGATGAAGGCGTACCTAGCCTTCCGATGCTGGCTGGTTTTGACATCTTCATCCGTTCCTACTGCATGTAGTTGAAGCAGTGCTTCTTAAGTGAAGGTAGGAAGTAACCTCTGTAAAATCCCTCCCGTTGATGTCGATTGGTTCTGGTTGTTGCTGTTGTTGGTTGGTTGGTGGATGTGTCCGTTGGCTATCTTCATCACTTCTGTCTTCTCTAAGTGCGCCTGGATGAGTCCTACCTTCACTGCTCCAGCTTCTGCCAGTTTGTTGGTTTTCGCTTGTAAGTCTTCCAGTTTTTGTGACATTAAACATAAGTCATCGGTGAAATACAAATCCTCCGGAGTCTTCTTTTAGGTGGTCCAACGCATTTCTGTCTTCTCACTCCCAAAACAAAGTATGATGCATAATCCAGTCTACCATAATCAGGAATATCATCGGTATTAATAGACAGACAGTCTTATATTACTCTTGGATCCATTTCACAAACCGAGGATTTTTGCGTTGTGGATCACGTGACAAGTGGCAGGCATTGTCATATAGACAACTGTTCAATGAGCTTGATAACGATTTGAACACAGTACGCTGTAGTATTGAATTAGCTTCCAAATAACTTTACGGTCAACCCTGTCTGCCGAAGGCCTTTTCGAAATCAATGAAGTTAAGGTAGAGGTTTGACTGTCATTCTATGCCTTGTTCTATGGTGATGCGTACAGTTGCAATTTGATCAGCTCATGATTTGCCTTTCCTGAATCCAGCTTGTTCTAGGTGGCGGAGTTCCGAATCCAGTGTGTCTTTTTTTCTCTCTGGGATGACACGACTTATTAATTTACTTGGAGTAGACAAGAGCATTATTTCACGTCACTTATTACAGGGGCGTAAGTCTCCCTTCTTTGGTGGCTTGACAAGGTTGCCTCTTTTCCAAAAGGTAGGTACCTTTCCCTCTTTCGTTCTAAACCTTTCGCAATAGTGGCGTGAGCATATCGATTGCAGTCTCTAGGTCCGTTTTCAGTGCTTCAGGGTAGGGGAATTCCGTCTGACCCTGACGCCTTCTTGACTGAACTTCAGTAGCGTGACTGCATCTAAAACTTCTTTTATTAGAGGATTGGTGTTCAGTGGCAGTTTTGTGCGTGCTGTTGGTGGTGATGTTGTTTTGGGCGGGGGGGGGGTAGGAGGTGATGGAGTCCTTTGAAGGGGTCAGTCCATTTTTTGATTTGTTTCTCCTTCCTGGTAATCACGTCCCCTTGCACATCTTTTATAGGTTTCATCTGGGTTGATCTCTTTAAGGATAGAGACTTGCTAGTCTGAAATAATTTTCGGAGGTCTCTTCTATCAGCGGCCTGTTCTGCTTCAGTTGTTGGCCAATGTTTCGTAGAATTGTCTTTCCTAGCACTCCTCTTCACTTCTTTATTCATTACAGTGTATACTGAATTCAACTTCTTCTTCTATTGTCCATCTTTGCATTCAGTCATCTTCCGTTTCACCATCCTCCTCTCACCTATTAGCTTCCAGGTGTATATTGAGAATAGTTCCTTGTCTTGACTCTTATTTCTTCCTAGAACAGTTGTACATGTTTCAGAGAGTTCCAATGTTCTTCCACGCAGGTTTCCCCAGTGATGCCACATAGTGTCTCCAACTGCAGTAAAGGTATCCATCACAGTTTTTTCCTACAGTTTCTGAGCGTTGAGTTTGAACTATGATCTGTTTCCGGTTGTTCTGATGGATTTCAGCTTAACTTGATGTTCTGAGCCTACATATACTCCCTTTCTGGACTTTGTGTCGAGCAGGCTGCGTCTCAGCCTCCTTGAGCAACATTGACATGAAGTCGACCTGGTCAGTCAGGTGAAACCTATGTTGGTTTGTGTGTATCCTTGTGCTTGTACACTCTGCCTGTGATTGCCAGATCATTGAGAGCGCAGAAGTCTGCTAAGTGTTGGAAGAATATGGAAGGCCATACAAAGAAGAAGAAAAAAAGGAATAGTGAGAGTTAGGCTCATTAAGACATGCCAGTTTCAGTTAGTAATGGAGTAAATTGCTGTTCATTAAAAACAGTATGTTGTGTTCTACCCGAAAAATAAGAAGAGAGCCACCTTGTGACCCTTGATTCAATGTTTTCTGAAATCAGCTAGCTTAGTAAAAGTGCCCTAGGAATAGGGTCAAAAGCAGCAGGTCAGTTCCCACAGACTATTGACAAGTAATTTCCCTTTTTCGTTTTACATTTTTACCTTTGAGCTATTTTGGAAAGTGACCTTACAAAGCAGTGCTAGGTATATTTTTCTATGCTGATATATCTCTCTGCTGTATTCAAATATTTATTCATAAATTGTTTAAATTCAAACAGTAGTGTTCGGGTTAAATCCAAGAATCCTTTTATATACTGGTTAATTATTTTCAGAGGCAATTCGAAGTATCATTATTATGGAATACGTATCAAAGCTACATCTTTATTAGATCAAACAACAGAAGTTAAACCAGTCAATATAAGGTAAGAATTATTACTAGTATAATATGCAAAACAAATTGTCAGATAAGACTTAACAAGTTGCTTTTTGTTCACGAAATCCTGTGGAAAATGCATCACCAATTTGCAGATGAAACTCAGAATATGACTACAATAACATTTAGAAAAAATTATATCAGCAACACTTAAGTGGGATTTGATGAGTATCTCTTGTCTTGAATCAGAAAAGCATTTCCAATTCATTCAGTGAATTAGACATAGTGATTTTGGGTTGGACAATTCACTGATTCAGTACAGATGGGTCGGGTACGTAGGGGTTTGGGTAAATTACTCTTTGCCTTGCAGATGACTTTAAAAGAGGAGGCTGTAGAGATAGGGTGATCATTGTCGACCAGATGTTCAATGATCGCGCTTCTTATTGCTCCACTTTCACTTCTTCGTAAACATGCAGGATAGTGTTCTTGCACCCTCTTGGACAAAACTAGAGTCGAACGACCAATATACCTAGCTCCACATGAGTAGGTGAATTGATAAACACACATAGAGCTGGTCAACAGCGGAATCTTGTCCTTTAGGTTATTGAAAACGAAACCTGGTCCGGTCACTTTCCACTCGTATTCGGCGCATATGTAGCCCTGATACTGTGGAAGACGAGTTATATCTTGTGAGGAAAGTCGATTTCCACTAAGTTTTATAGATAAGAATATACATTCAAATCCTACAAAATGTGACTTATCAACCGTACCCAAGAAAATACTTTACCTGAGCTTGGAATTCAAAGGGGACTTAGCTTCCGATATCATGAAACGAAGGATATCACAGTCCCTGAAAAAAGCGTTCCCTGCTGCATCTCTGAGAATAGAGTTTAATAGTCGACCATTACTTTTCCATAACCTGAAAGACAAGATTCCGCTGTTGACCAGCTCTATGTGTGTTTATCAATTCACCTACTCATGTGGAGCTAGATATATCTGTCGTTCGACTCTAGTTTTGTCCAAGAGGGTGCAAGAACACTATCCTGCATGTTTACGAAGAAGTGAAAGTGGAGCAATAAGAAGCGCGATCATTGAACATCTGGTCGATAATGACCACCCTATCTCTACAGCCTCTTCTTTTAAAGTCATCTGCAATGCAAAGAGTAATTTACCCAAATCCACTGATTCTCCTCTTAACAACATAATTTCATTTTTTCCTCTGAGTTTACAACATCTAACAAATCTTTTTCACTTAAAATATCTTGCAGTTTTAGTGAAACTATTTTTCTTTGACTGCCTATTTGATCCATAAATATGACCTAGATCAATACTTATTGTACTGTTTGAAAAAATTCTCTGTAATGTGGTCAAGTGATGTCTGTCCACTAATATTTGTATCACTCATACAGATATTCAGTTAAATGGTATCACAATACAGATTAATTGCTGATCAATATATACATTATTTATCTTTTTACAACTAGCATATAAATTGAATTTTATGTACAAATTATAACCAAAAAATGTATACTGATCCTAGGTTAGATTAATGATAGGGTTATTTGTAAGCAATGCATTACAACCCCGAACTAGAACAAAACCCGATACTCCCTGGTTTTTGGTGCCACTCTAACCAGTTAAATGTGTTAACCACAAATTTAAACGAGATATTTGGTACTGTGACCATGTCGGCACATTATTTTCAAAAGAAACATAACATCATTCTATTAAAGGATAAATTTTTTTGATAAAAGAACATAGTGATATGGTGTTATTTAGTGATGAATTTCCGAGTAAAATTTATTACTCATAATTATTGTCGAGGCATTAAAAGGACGTAAACGTCAGAAGAGTGAACTTGAAGGCTTTCAATCTTGGGCCGTTATTGATCCATTTATTGGATATGCCATCTCTAAGTCTACGAATGGACTAACTAAAATTCCAGATGGGCAGATGTGGGATGATGCAGTTGGTTCTCATAGTCATTTCCTCGATGGACGACACAAAAGATGAAAACGAATAGATAATTGATGTGAAGACTTGGATTTAGACTATGCTTTCCAACATGTTAAGGGTTATCCAAAGTAAGTTTTTTTGACTGATTGACTGACTGAATTTCAGCATTAAAATTTGGACAGCGGAGCAACAGCTCATTTTATCACACTCAGATATATAATACACAAAGGTGTAGGAAAAAAGAGAGAAAAGAAATTCAAAAGGATTATAATGAGTTGAAGTGTAAAGTGAACAGAATAGCAACATATGGGAAAATAACAGAACTTATTGGATGTGTGAGGCTAAGAGATAAAATGCATCTGTGCCATGGATAATGAATTTGAAACACGTGACCAACGGTTCCCAACCATCTATTCTTAAAGTTTCGGGTACGCCGTCCAGGCAGTCTACACTTCATCAAGTGGCTCAAACCAAGTGTTAGACGTCATAAACTCATTCCATGCATTGGGTTGGCCCCCCTTTGTTCATTTAGAAGACGGAGATTCGACAAGCGCAAAAGGTATCCTAACTATGTTAATCGATGTACCTTCCCAACCTCAAAGATTGACTTACCCTCGTTACGTAGCACCCTACGCCTGATCTCAGTACTACTCACCGTCTTATATCACCTATCATGCTCTTCTTTTTCTCTGTTCATATATGAAATTAAATATTTCTATTAAGTTGTGCATTTGACAAACACTTCATTTCATATTTTTGACGATAATGCATACATTATACCTGTGTGTGTGTGTACAGGACAGGTCCTAACTCTGACAGCCGTACTAGATTAAGTCAGTTCGATAATTCTATGAAAAATAATTGAATGAAAAGTACTTAAACCACCATATAGAATAATAATACTACACACTGACAGTAGTTGATTATTCATAAATCGGAAAAAGGAAAAAAACTCGAAACTTCGCTGGTTTAAACAGCAAGCAGTACGTTAACAAAGCAAATCATATCAGACACAATGATTAAAGTTATATCATACACTTAGATGAAGGTTTTAAAACTTTAGTTCAAGAATTATCACCGATTATTATGATAACTCAATGCTACAAGAATGTTTTTAAATCAAATTGCTGGATGGTGACTAGCAGTTGAATCCAGGATGCGCATTTCGTTGGGTCATATTAATTTAATAGAATTTTTGATTTTCCCGTCGATTGATTGACTCAAAGTGCTCGCTCTTCTTGTGCAGATGCTTCGACGATGTCTGGGTATTTAATTATTATTTATTTGGTGAATGGTGACTAGCAGTGGAATCCAAGATGGGCATCTCGTCCTATTTGGGACTCGTCAGCTGGATGTACCTGCATTTCTCAGTGAGTGATGATGTTCCCACCGAGGCTCGAAACCAGTGTCCATAGTTTCAAACGCCAAAGCGTTATCCACTAGACCACTTGGACCAGGAGAGCCACCTCTTTTGCAACGGGTCATATTAATTTAATTGAATTTTTTGATTTTGTCATTGAATGATTGAACCGAAGTGCTCGGTCTCAGGTTGACATGTCGGCTTCTTGTGCAGATGCTTCGACGATGTATGGGTACAAGAAGCCGACACGTCAACCTGAGACCGAGTAATTCGGTTCAATCAGTCGACGAGAAAATCAAAAATTCAATTAAATGTATTTAAATGTTTGTATTTATTCGTCTGAGTACATTTTGAAATCTGATTTTCAATTTTTAGTAATAAACGAGATCAGTTTTCCTATACAAATCGTACTACACTGAACAGTACCTCTTCTTCTAATAATAATGGTAATAATACTATACTAAGTAGAAATGAAAATTATAGAACAATTAACCATCAGCAGTCTCATCGTCTTCAGCATCAGTCACATCCTCTACTTTCATGCCCTCTTCAATCTCAGTCTCACCAACACTATCCTCCTAACCACCACCAACACCACCACCCACACCACCACCAACAACAACCACAACAACAACAGAATCAAACTAATCATCAGATGAATTCACTTGGAATAGAATCAAATTCTTATCGTTATTCTATAAAATCTGAAAAATGTTGCTTCAAATCATCGTTATCAGCGCTGATGACAACAAACAATCATCATAGTCAAGGGATGATAAATTCGTTGAGTAATAATAATAATAATAACAATAACACTTATTATAATGACAATTATAAAATAATGAATGAACTTCATACTGGCATAACATGCAACATGTCATTAATATCAACAAAAGAATATAATAAGAATAATTATGATAATTCATTATTGAATTTATGGAGAACTAATTCTATGAATTCTATTCGGTGCAAACAGAATTTCATAATTCCTTCAAATACTACTAACAATAACGAGAGTAACAGTAGCTCAACAGATTATAATAAAAATAAACTAATCAGTTATGAGTGTATGCAACCAGTAATTATGAAGAATTTATTGAATTCAAATATTCAAGCAGATTTTGACGTCGATTTAAACTTAGGTCTTAAATGGGATTTTTTAGTTAATATAAATAACAATAATAATAGTAATAATAAAGTAGTATGGCATGAGTAAGTTGATTTCAGTTAATTTGATTTATTATTATTTTTTTATTTTGTGGGACTGTTTTCGCATGGATTCACGCTGTTCTGGAGCTGTATTAAGGCATTCTAAACAAAAGTTGTTATGATGACTAAAAATGAATATATATATATATATATATATATATATATATATATGCGCTGGTGGCATAGCGGTTAGGACGCTCGCCGACCATGCGTATTGTCCGGGGTTCGATCCCCGGCCAACAAGGCACTCCTTTACCTCCCTAAGCCAGAAATAATGCTGGTAAAGAGGAAAGATTGGGCATGTGGCTAGCAACGCCATCCTGTAAAAATAAACACTGCTACAGCAACTTCAAGCCACTAGCTTGAAGCCCTATGTTTCACCGGGGAACGCGAAGGAAATATATATATGTATATATATTATAATCATATTGAAATAGTTAGTGGGGCTGTGAGAGGTTTGACTAATTTTAAGGCCACCCCTATTAAAACTGAAGTCAGACAGAGAACTCCTAAGAGCCGAAGTAGAGTTAACACTTATTTCAACGATATTCATATTAGCTAGTGAAAGAGTTGAAATCATGCTGTATTAAGACAAAGTATTTACTTTATTCACCTTCTATTTCAATTGTTTTATCATCGATATAATTTGGTGTCAAATGAAAAAGGTGTCAAATATCTAGATTGCAGAGATCCTGGACCTATCGCCGATTTCAGAAGACTAAGCTTAATACTCAGAACAACTGAAAATGGTTGGACGACACGATTGTTTATTCCTCAACCGATGACAAAACGGATTTACAATCAGTTAATCAGTGACAAAGTCTGTAAATACTTCTAATTGTATCTCTTCAATCTTCCACCAATTAGTACACGATTAACTAATAACATATTTCCTATCTTCCGCCAGTGGAGACTAGTTCAAATAAATAAGTTTAGTGTTCACCAACACTGACAAAAGACATCCATTATGAAAAATACTTTTGCATAGAGACACGTACGTCTTAAAAACTTCTTATAACCAACAAAAGCAAGCTAGTACTACTGTGGTGAGAGCAGGCTGCTAGCCAGTTGGTAGACATTAATTTACGTCAATGTCTAGGTCACTAATATTGGCCGTGAGAAAATATGAACATGGCTGATTCAACAACCAATCACAGCAGACTTAACGTGGGCAGATAAGATTCGAAAATATATGTCTTTCCGAGAAACCAGAAACAACCAATCAGAAGACTGTGTTTGTCTGCTTGAATAAGCTATAATAATGTACATGAAATACATATATATATATATATATATATATATATATATACGTGCTGATTTCCGTAATAAAACAGTCTGTTGCCTGGCCCTTGTCTTCTGTTGTTACATTTTGGTATCGGAGGTGGGATTAGAACCCACGCCCACATCGTGGACGAGAAAGTCTTTGTCGATGAACTAGACCTTTTAAAATCGACAAATCTGCATATCTAAATTTCCTTATTATAATTTTCCTTCTAATGTTTTTCATATGCATTAAAAGTTAACCTATAGAAATGTTTTTGTAGTAATGACGTGGAATATGTGCCATTGGTTTCTGTTATTTTCTACAAATATGTGTCAAGATTATATATGTCCAAACCAAATTCACTGTTAACAGTTTGAAAAAATTTGGGCATTAGGTATGTGGTATTCATTGGAATAAAGGTTTTCTTATATTTCCCAATGAATGAAAAACAAAACGATATCGTTGTTTTTACTGACGTTTCGCTATTTAATGATGCTGCAGATAGCTTTATCAAAGTATTATTAAACCGGAATTTACAAAATCTCAGTATATATATAACAAAGAGTTAAGAGGTGAGAAAGTGGACTTAGGTCAAGTTAAAAGGACATATTGATTGTCAAAATAACAATGAAGATCTCTAAACCAAATAACAGAAGTAATAGTACATTTACTGTGATATCAAAACAGGGTTTACTAACTTGATCACCGTTCCTCAGTATGGGGTCATTTTTCGTTGTCAAATTGGCCAGTTGGTAAAGATGACAAAACCAGGTGTAGATAGTTGGATTTGATAAGTGTGTAAAATTATAAAAACAGTGTGTGTTTACGTAATGAAATTGCTTATCCCATTCGTGTTGATTTTGTCACTTCATGGGGGAGGGGGGTGTTTTAGCCAGATCAAATTCTGTTTTAGTCCATCATTCCTATTCAGACAATTTGCATTCCAGCTGATATGAAATGCTTCTGACATCAGAATTCTTTGTGATTTCTGAGATTTTTCTGGATTATTTCAATATCGTCGAAGTCACTTTTGTGGCTTAAAGCGTGTAGACCTATGTCTGATGATTTTTCAAGCTTTTCTAGTTCAACCGGATTTCTTGGTGGTCGAATAGATGCTCTTCGGTGTTCATTTCTTCTGATTTTGATTTCTCAAGATGTTTGTCCGATGTATATCACATTAAATTCCAAGCATTTTATTTTATAGACACAATTAGATAGAGAATCTTTCGGGATTTGGTCTTTTATATGGACAAAGTTGTTTCTCAGTGAGTCTGATGTCCTACCTAGAGGTACCCAACTGTTGAAGTCAGTATACTGCCCTTTAAATGTTGCCTTTCGATTAATCAACACTTTTAAAGTGCCGTCCTCTCTTTCATCTAATAATAATAAATGTGCTTCGGTGGCATAGCCCCTAGGACGCTAGCCGACCATGCATATCGTCCGGGGTTCGATTCCCGGCCGGCGCAGTCCTTTACCTCGCTGAGCCAAAAATAATGCTGGTAAAGAGGAAAGATTGGGAATGGGGCTAGCAACCCAATCCTGTAAAATAAACACTGCTACAGAATCTTCAGGCCACTAGCTTGAAGGCCTATGTTCAACTGGGGAACGTGAAGGAATAAAAATAATAATAATAATTAGCTTTATTCCAAAACAGTATTTGGGAATACAGAATGGAATTCTCAGCATTTTACTACAGTATTGCATCCAGTTATTACATTATCAACAAAAAAATTCTACATAGAATAAGGAAATCTCAGTTCATTATGACAACAACATTTTAGCATGTCGGTAAAGCCAAAATTGAAGAGTGTATGAAGGATTCTAGACAAGTAGATGCCAGCATGTTTACTGGCGTAAGCAGAAGAAAGAAACAAAGCAGCACATAACAGAGAAAAAAGAGAGAGAAAAGGAAAAGAAAGAAAGAAAACGTTGTACCTATGAAAGATATGAATTGGAAAGACGAGATCCATTTGTTCTACTGGCTATTTAATAAGTTATAGGTATGACGTCTAATGCTTTCTTTATCCCACAGAACACGAGCAAAGTAGGGTATGGTTGAGTTTTTGTACTTCCTAGTGCGAGCGTATAGTTTTCTGTATAGGCTTCTGGTTCTGCCTGATGAGATACAAGGGGAGAGTTGTGAATGAAAGGTAAGGGTGGTGTGAGTTAAACAGATAGAATGGATTTAGCCCATTTTTTACATGAGTTCATGTGCCTGTCAACGAGAATATTACCAGGCTGGTTAGGCTGTACATTGCTTACCCTGCTGACAACCTTTAACATCCTGCGTAATAAGGTATAGTCGTTCTTCAGTAGCCATGGAAAAACTAAGGGGGAACAATAGAGAGTAATAGACAGAATGCGAGAGTTAACGAATTGTAGGAGAAAGGGTTGGGCTATACCAGAATGTCTTAACTTCTTGATGTAGATGGTGAGAGGGAATATTTTCTAAGAAATCATCAAGATATGAGAAGACCAGGAAAGATCAGCAGATAGAATGACGCCTAGGTATTTAATTTCTGGCGTGGTTTCTATTTCAGTGCCATCAATGTTGCACACCTCGTGAGTGCTAACCAGTTTGTTTAGGTCAGATTTATGCCTAAAGTTGAAATTGACTGTTTAGCATTTGGAGGGGTTTAAGGTGAAACCGTTTTCTTTGGACCATCGGGTGACTTCTGATAAAAAGCCATTTAGTTTAGAGCAGTTACTTTGACATTTGACAGGCAAAGATACAGTTAGGTCGTCAGTATATTTGACAAAATTAATATCATTTGAAGATGGTAGGTCATGTAGAAAGAATGAAAAGAGAAGTGGGGGACACCAGCTTCAGTGAGCACAGCAGAGGAGGATTTGCCTTTGTATACGGTATACTGCATTCTGTTTGAAAAGTAGGAATACAACCAGTTAGTGTCCCAGGTTTCAGTTTGTGTCACGCAGAGCTTATTTAGCAAGAGACATCTAGGTACAGAGTCGAAAGCAGAAGTGAAGTCGAGAAACGTGCAGCGGACGTATTTGGCACCTTTATCTAATGATGAGACGATACTGTTGTGTAAGACGGCTGCAGCGTCTAAAGTTCTCTTACCCTGTCTATCGGCAAATTGTTTGGGGTCTTCAAAGCTTTTAAGGGAGGGTTCAAGTTTAAGAAGTACTAGTTTTTCCATAAGCTTTAGAAACGGGGAAGTGATGGTAATGGGTCTGAACTTTACGTTCTTGCTATTTCCAGGTTTAGGGACAGGGATTATTTTAATGTCTTTCCATTGAACAGGTACAACGTTTTTGGAGAAAGAAGCATTTAGGATATTAGTTAGTGGAGAACATAAGGCATCTGCACATTGTTTTAGAACATATGCAGGTATACCATCAGGGCCAAGACTACATGAGGGCTTAAGAGTTTTAAGACATTTTAAAACATCGAGAGTGTTAAAGTCCTGGACGTTATAAGCTACATGATTAGTAACGTTAGAAGTAGTTATAGTAGAAGGAGAGCGTATAAAAGACTGATTAAGAGCATTAACATCATAAGAGGGAAAACATTACATCGCTTACTATTGCCAGTAATTTCATTGAAAAGTTTCCACATGCTGATAGGAGACTTGCCTGATAAAAGTGATTGGTTATAGATTTTTGATTTCAGATTTGATTTGAGCATTAATCTTTTTAAGTTCTAACTTTTCTTTGAGATTATATAACGTTTCTTTTTGCCTGCGTAGTTGTTTGAGATGAGGAGATAAGAAGCGGTCGAGGCGTTTGAATAGTGTTTGTTTGGGACAGCATATGTCAAGGCAGAACTTAAGATAATCCGTTATATTAGTGATTGAGTCATCTAATGTACTTTCATAGAATAAATCCCAGTTAGTATTTTTTTTAACACGCATCTTAGATTGAGTAGGTTGTTAGATGTGTGGTAGCACACTTAAGAAGGGAAATACGAAATTCGATTCGACAGTGAAAAGCATAGATGAGTGATAACTATTAAATTTTGCAAAACGCTCAGCACTTGAACAATTTTCATCACAAATAATGGAGGTGTCTCATCTCTTACCTCTTTGTTATATATATATGCTGAGATTTTGTAAATTCTTGTTTAATAATACTTTGATAAAGCTATCAGCAGCAGCATTAAATAGCGAAACGTCATTCATTGGGAAATACAAGAAAACCTTTATTATAATGAATGTGTCGAGATTGTTGCAAGTCGACAAAGAGCAAAAACTCGTTGATAAGTCGCAAACAAGACAAAATACACATGCTGGTTTCTACTGCCAGTTACCATTCCCCAATTAAAAAAAAAAATAATCAAGGTTTACGAAATAAACATGATCATGAATCTCAGTCCTTCTACTTTTAGTTAACGTGGTTTCAAAATATCTAAACAGCTGTTTGCTTCCACTGAATTTTTCTCTATTGAAAATATTATTTCTCTCGAGTATACATAAGTTTAGTTTTACTTCAATTTATTTTCTGTTTTTATGGATCAAGGAAAATGAATCAAAATGAAAGTGAGAACACAACAAAACTACATTTTGGCGATGATCCAAATCATAAATTCACCTTCTCAAACTTAATGGAATTATGTGCACTGTCTGGACTTCAGATTAATGAAAATGGTAAGACTTTGTCTGGAAACAATTAAAAGTAAATAAACCTTTCATGTTTTTACATTGAAATTATTTATCATAAATTTTCTTTGACTGAGTAGTATGGATATAGAAACTGAGTTTATCCTTTTTTTTTATTCCTTCACGTTCCCACTAGAACACAGGGCTTCAAGCTAGAGGCTTGAAGTTTCTGTAGCAGTGTTTATTTTTTTACAGGATGGGGTTGCTAGCCTCAAGCCCGAACTTTCCTCTTTACCAGCATTATTTCCGGCTTAGAGAGGTAAGGGAGGAGTGCGTCTGCCGGTGATCGAACCCTGGACCATATGTATGGTCGGCGAGCGTCCTAACCGCTGTGCCACCGACGCACAGAGTTTATCCTTAGATTCAGTGAATTTACCTTCGCAGATCTGAACTTTTTGGAATATTAAAATATGTTTCAGTGTGACGAGAAATGAGAATGTAAATGTACTTATTTAGGAGTATTCCAAATTAGATTTCTGCTTTACAAGAGTTTTGATATAGTACTAATAACACTGACCATACAAATTTGTAGCCTATTGGTCTGGATGCCCGAGTTCCTAACACTGGATTACAGGATCACTCTAACTGCTGAGGTTCAGGCCTTCACTAAATCAGTGTGGCTTGTTGTCAGTTGCAAGAGGTTGTTGAGTAACATTTGCATTTAATCACACACTGCGATATCATGCATTCTGTATTGTGCATGATTTGTTCGTTATTACCTTCATTTTATCAGATTCTGGCCAGCGTTATCGCATTCTTCTCGGGTTTCCCCCTCAGTGTCCTTCTACCAATACTTCTTCGAAGAAGTTACCCGACATACTACTTATGTCTGTTTAAAAGTGGCACACAGTATAATTTAATTTATGAGGTATTGATAAATCGCTAGTACCATGAACTAAGCTTAAAAGTGAATGGAACATCCTTTATAAAGTAATCAAAATAACTTTATGATACCAAAATGTCTAACTGTTTTCTTGTTTTCTCAATATTTCATCTATTTAGATATTTTCGGGTGTATTATAAAACCTGAATTTAATGAGCGATATCAAGAAAATAGTCCACAGAAATTAAACAGTCAGCAGATAGCATATTTTGTTAAATTATATGAAACACATTGTGAGCAGGTTTGTGCTGCCTTTATTCATATCCAAATAGAAAATTTACGGACAATATGGCATCAGTTTTGGTGTTCATCAGAGTCTACAGTAGGTAAACTTCTTTTTGAAACGTGTACTAAAATAATGTGATATGGTCGTTAATACACTTGCAGTTGAGCTAACGAAGTTCCTATCTAGTCAATTCAACAGCCTATTGTTCTAAACCCTACTCGCGACAACGACAACACGACACAACACAGAGAAAGCGACGCAAGAAAAGAAGGCAGAATGTTGACGTGGTGAGCTTTCACTGTCTCGTATCAACAATAAAAAGCACTGACAGCGCTTGAGTATACTTATGTATGCCTTAAATGACCTTGAGAGACACTAATTACGCGGATAAGCTAACTGGATATAGCTAACAACAAATAGGATTTCAAGGTGACGGGTGGGTTGAGAGAAATACAACTAGATATTCTACAAACTTCATCGATAGATTGTGCTTTTAATTTGAAGATATTGTTGGGAAACTACTAAGTTAGGTAAATCTGGCGCAGTTTTCGCTAGGCTATCAGTAGTTTTCACCCTGTACTACAGGGTCGATGAGGCCTCAATACCGGTTAGTTAAACAGGATGTAAGGTCAGGCTTTCATCGATGAATTCAGATTGTAGTTATATCGTATTGGGAATTAAACCAAAGATGAAACTGAGATGCACCAGGATGTCAAGATACTACGACGAAAGAATAGATTCCTTTGGGCTTCTTTCCATATTGTGGTCATGCAAAAACGCTATTTGGAAGACTTAGAGGTAATTATGGCTGGGTTTTAAATGGAAGGCAGAAGTCTGTTATTCATTCACATTACAATTTAATTTAATGATACTGACAAAAGTGAGTGGAATTTACAAGACGTCAGTCTGATTGAGATATCGTGTTTAGTAGTCTAACATAGTTTTATGCATTTCTGTAGTCTGAATTGAGTGTTAGAGAGAAACTGCTTTATGCCAACAGGTGGGATTCAGTCCTTTTCTTAAAGATACAATAATATGGTAAGTAATTTCTGTTGTTAGAGTGTTTAACCTTTTTACCGTTTATCGCACCGTGTACAGGCGGCTTATGTTGTTATTAAACATTTAATGAGTACAATGAGCAAGAGTTCATTATGTCCTGCAGATTTTCTACGAAATGTCACTGTTGTCTAACTAACACTGTTCGTATCATGGCAATGCTAATTTTAAAACAATTAGTCCCTGTGATAAATTTGAATAAGGTATTTAGAAGACAAATTTCGCGAGATGTTATCTTCATTTCGTAGCTTCTTTACAGCCACTTTACAACTAACATAGTTAACAATAATAAAATAAAATGCATGACAATTACTCATTTGAATAAAACAAAAGTACGTACTAATAACCAATCATATTTAAATAGGTCAAGTAGTCAATTCATGGTAGGCTGAGGGTTGAAATCTATTCTTTTTTGTGCACATAGTTTAGGCTGTATGTGATTAATCAACAGTGCTTCCGTCACCTTCAATAACGTTGAATTAGAATTATGTGAAATAATCGTGAAAAAGTCATTAATATTGATTTTGTGACCTGACCTTAATAAGTGCTTTGCAATGGATGATGCTAGATTTCTATTCAGATTAACTGCATTGGGATTTTCTATGTTTTAATAACCATTTTGGAACATGTTTTCTCCGGCGACATTGGAACATTCTATTGGTTCTACCTATATAGGTGTCACCACAACTACATGTGAACTTGTAGATACAGTTTGAAGTAGAGTCCGCAGGGATCGAAAATGTTCAGCATGTGAGAGAAAGAGATGCGGCGTAGAATATGCGTTTGATGGTTGACCGAAGTCTTTGAGCTGTTGACTAAATAATCTAGTCACCCTTGAGTGGTAGGTTAATAAAGATAGCTTTCTTTGGTACATATTTACCTATTTAAATATGATTGGTCATTAGTATGTACTTTTGTTTTATATAACTGAGTAATTGTCATGCATTTTATTTTATTATTGTTAACTATGTTAGTCATAAAGCGGCTGTGAAGAGGCCACGAAATGACCATATCAACTAGCGAAATTTGTCTTCTTAATGCCTTACTCAAATGCTAATTCTAGACATTAAATCTTACGTAAGATGGATAGGACAAACGATGTTGTTATGCGGTCCTCTCAAAATAGGGGACAGGAAAATATGTGATAGATGATCTGCCACAGGGTATTTTCACAGTTTTACAATAATGAGAATAGAAAGAATTTACATGGATGTGATGGACGGATCAAGGTATAATTTCACAGTGTGAAACCATCGAATTTTAGTCTCAGATTGATACAGAGGTTCATATCATCCGAATGGAGTTCATAAAGGTAAGAAAAACTTACGTTTAAAGAATCTACATGGCATGACTCAAAATTAATCACAGTTACGCAGATATATCCTTATTATTTTTTGTCTGAATCATGATATCAAGTTATTATTTTAATATAATACCTCCCTCTTCTGTATTTCTGATCCTCATTCCTTGGTCATAATTTTATTCCTTTACAGAATATCCAGGTATTAGTTGTTGAGTTCTAGATGAATGATAACACTCCATCTCTATTATGTATCAATTTAACTTTTCAGTAAAAACTATATGTACACTTTAAGTTAATAATAAGTTTTACGTTCACGTTATTCTCGTTATAATTTATCTACATTTATTCTTCCTTTTCATCTCTACTTATAGATTTGTGCATCAGAATGTTGTTTACCAAAAAGTTACTTAATCGACTTATGCGAAGATTCACATATTTGTCAATTTATTGAACTAGCTGACAGAACATTATATCAATTATTACTTGATATTATTATAAGAGACAGTTTAAAGGCGTTATCGAATGAATTAATTCAAGGATTACAAACTATGATTAAATTAATGGAGGTAATTTTATGCTGAATAACTTTCATATGGTCAAGTGATTGATTATTAGATATATATACATATATATTCTTGTATGTTGAAGACATTTTTGATATTATTGCTGATGAGTTTCAGCGACCTCCTTCGGAATGACTTTTGCCAACATTTATAGTAGTCTGTATTTCCTGTGAGAACAATCTATAGTACCGATGTAAAAAAGCAATTCACAGTGAATATTTATTTAGACACTGTCCAGAACCCTAATGTTTGAAATATATATATATATATATCGATGGATTCCTCCTTATTGTTGTGATACACATTCCTACCATTGGTTGACTGCACTGAAATGTATGGCTTCTGTTAACGTGTCAGCTCTTAATACAGACGCTTCAATAGTGTCTGGGGGTTACAATGATGCTGTTTGATGAGTGGTGACTTGCAGTGGACTCGAAGGTACGCATTTCTTTCTGCTCAGGACTCATCAGTCGGATGTACTTGAAGTCCTCATTTTAATCCCTAGATATCATCCAGGCATACTAGGGTTCGATATGTCATCTGAGGCTGAACATTTTGGTTTAGTCGATCAGCGAGAAAAACAAAACTGACCTAAGCAAAATAATAACTAGTCCCCGTCGTACTAGAGGTAACTTTCTTGGCCCAAGTAATCTAGTGGACAACAGTGCAGTATTTAAAAGCATGGGTTCTGGGTCCCAGTCTCGATGGGAACTCTGTCATTCACTGAAGACTGCAGGTGTATTCACCTGAGGAGTCAGAAATAGAACGAAATGCACATCCCGGATCCACTGCTAGTCGCTATCCATGAAATAACATAATACACATCTTTCCTGATGTGTTTATATTTCTCAAGGGCTGTAAAAATGACGTCTAACACGGTATGCATTTGTAAGTATCTCTATCTACATAATGATATTATAGGTTTATAAAAAGTGTTGATAAGAGAATTAATTACCTTATTAATTGTTAAAAAGCTATTGTTTCTTTTTTTGTTTTCCTTTCTTAGCCTTATCTACAATCAGCTATACGATATTTTAATCCACATTTAATTAACAGAAAACTGTCAGCCGTTAACTGTTTAACTAAAGGTTTACATCGAGCATTAGGAATTAATTGTTTTAGTCAAACAATTGAAAATGTCATCAATGATACCCAAAAATGTGCACAAATATTAAATGATATTAACAAATTAGATTTAAAAAGTATTGAAGTATGTTTAGCGTTTTGTTTAAATGTAACAATAATGAGTCTTCAAGGCCACTGTTTTTGCATTCATATAAAAATATGTGACTGTGAAGTTCAATAGATTTGACATAAAAGTCGATTTGTTGAGAAGCTGATTTACTAATGAAACATTAGTACCAACTGTTATGTGATCTAAATCTCACCTGATTTTTATCATAATCACCTTTTTCATGTTTACATAGTGACAATCTAACTAACAGAGATGATCTGAGTTTTCACAGAAAAAAAGCAATAATATTATGCATAACTCGAAGTCATTTGGTGGATGGTGACTAGCAGTGAAATCCAGGATGCTCATTTCGTCCTATTTGGGATTCGTCATCTGGATGAATAATGCTATGGCGTTTGAAACTATGGACATTGGGTTCACGCCTCGGTGGGAACATCGTCACTCACTGAGGAATGCAGGCACATCCAGCTGACGAGTCCCAAATAGAATGAAGTGCGCATCCTGGATTCCATTAATGCTAGTCACCAGTCACCAGTTAACCTCTAATTACATCCCCAGATAGTCGAAGCATCTACTCAAGAAACCGACATGCCAACCTGAGACCAAGCACTTCGGTTCAATCAATCGATGGGAAAATCTAAATTGAATGAAATTATGCATAGCTTTTTGAAGCTGAAAGCAATGCTTGAGTAGTGTTTCAAAGCAAAACCACCTAAAGATTACCAACTCATTGATTCAATAAAAAAATATACATCTATTTTATCGTTTGCAGACAGTCACTGTTTGAAAATAAAGAAGAGGGAAGTGATGAAGTTATTCGATGGACAACAAACGTCAGTAATCATCACTAGGGATAATCTAAAGGACGTCACCTTTATCATTTGCTTAACGTCATTTTTTTCAATTATAGGTGACACATATATGTATGTCAAAGCCAGACAGCTTCGGGCAAACCAGACAGGGGTTTACTACTGTGAAATTACTGCGAAGATCTCTAGCACCTATCACATAGCACATGGAACAAAATCGGAATTATTGGTACTAATGTCAAATAAATGCTTCATCATGTTTCAGGGAGTTGGTGCGTTGCCTCCATACCCTTAGACTTTAATTAACACCTTCCAGATACATTCGATACTGATGATTAGATAACCGGTAAGAAAAGGTTAACAACAATGAGCCTTGGCAAACAGAGAGACAACAGTACAGAACCTATTGTCCATAAAATATTTAGAAAGAAATGTAAATGAGCTGGAAATATACTGAGGATATAATCAAGTGAAACGACAAGCCAAATCACCAAGTTGAAAACGTATTGGAACCTATGATTCTGCCACCTGAGGGTGACACTGAAGAAAGAACTCAAAAGAGGAAATGAAACCAAATTTAAAATCAATGCTAAGATCTAAGTGGGTTGAAGATGTGCTGCTGAAATCCAAAATTCCTCTCGAGATGCAATGAATAAATAATAATGCTGATAATAATTGATTTTAAAAAAGGATCATCATTTAGGAATCAGCATTAATAGCATTAGCGTTGTTCTTTGGTCTTTTGTGGAATGTAAGACGAGTGTTTTGCTCCATTTTGGATATATCTGAATCCTATTTAGAGACAGTTTTCTGAAATATTTAAAGTCTAAAGTATTATCCATTAGGCCGCTAAACCATGACAATCGTATCTTAAGTGAAAGGGGGTATTTGTTGTCTCAGTCTTGGTGATACGATATTCTGTTATCTCGAAACAATAATTCAAACTAGCATCTAAAGACCAAAACATGCAATGCATAGATACAACTCATGCTAATTCTCACTTTAGTCTATTCACGGTTAGATGACTAATCAATCCGCAAACATTAAACATATGTCAAAAGGTTAATCTTCAGGTCAACACGATATACACTATCAATAAAAGTGGACAAAAGGTTGTGAAAGTCTAGGGAAACAAGTAGTCGCATTCCAAGTTTCCAAGACAGACATAGTCAATAAGCTCATGGAGAATCCTGGAAGCTGACTTCATATTGTAGTCCGCATTGAATATGTTTTCTAAAGAAACAATAAAAGCCCAGAGAAGAACACAATCACACCTTTTAATCAACACATTTCTGGTATGTTTTGAAACCTGAATAGATTGTTGTACAAAAAAATTTTGAGAGATCCCAGTTACATTACACATATATTCATATGAAATAAAAAGTATATTATTATTATTTTATCCTACGAACAGCTTCTTTTACTTGGTGCTGTACGATTGATGGCTTCTAACCGACAATACATTTAGAAACGGAAAAAGAGGTATTAGACCTTGTGTGTGAAACCATATAACTGAGGTGAAAGATATAACTCAAATCGTTCATGGTTTACCTAACTTTATATTAAGTGTTCACTGGCCATTAGCGATTCTATGACAATAAATGATTGCTGTGTATCTGTTATTATGTTGGTTTCTGTTATATTTGCTTCATCGATACTTTAGAGTTAGTGTGACACCACCTAGTACAGTCAGTTGATGAATCTCAGTTGGGGGTGAAACCCAATATCTGCAAAAACACTTCATGCAGACATATGTGCGATAACCTTATACATTATAACGCATATACTACCACCATATATATATTTATTATTATTATTGTCATTTTCATATATAGGCTCAAGGATCATGGGCAAGTGATTGTTCATTGTATGGATTACTACAAAACTCATTAGACTTATATTCAAATGATTTTAATCCTAGTAAATGTTCACTTCACAAGGGCATAAAACAGGAACCAACAGACCAGTGCATACCACAGATACCATATAAACTGTTAGATTCTAATATAAATACTAAACATGTATTCTCTGATATATACAATTTCGATGAAAATTTTATTAATACTACTGAGACTACTGCTACTACAACTACTACTGATAATGGTGTTAACATAAATGTTTTACATTCTGAAATGTGTAATTTATTAATGAATAAGTCAACTTTAACAACATGGACAAAATGGCTAGATAAAATTGTTACAAGAAGTTTAGTGAATTCTCAGTCTGGCCCAAAACGTGCTAATACTGCAAGACAACTTATGCTTGTATGGACATATTACAGGTGAACATGTTTGTTTTGATAGTTGTTGTTATTATTATTATCATTATGGTAACTTGAGTGATATTCATACTCCATTAGTAAAAACGTTTTTTCCTAATTAGACACAATTATGCCTTGAAATAGTGAGTTTATGAGGGACTGAATTAGTTTTAATATAAATTTTATCATGCATAGACACCGTTTAGCAACTATAAGGTTAGGATAATCAACAAAACTCAGTTATTTTGATCTAAACGCAATAAACTAATCAATTCATCTTTCTGCTCAGATAACCAAACATCTGAGAATAACGAACAGCCAAAAATTACATCCCCTACAATATCAAAACACGACTTACAGTGATATAATCTTCTGCATTACTGAGCAATGACGACTCATTTAAAAAATGCCAATCTTCTTCAACGATGACGTCTGTAGGTTATAAAGTCTAAAATGATCCCAGATAGAAAACGTGTACTCTACAACAAAATTATTAATTAACCGAATACAACCATAAAATACCTGCGAATCCCAAAGAATATTTCCAGCTTGATGGTGACAAAACTCAGTCGACAAGAGTCAAATAGAACAGAACATGTTTCCCACGGATGGTTCAAGGTCAAGAAGCCACCCATGGCATAACCTTGAATTCAATCAGACAAAATCTCAATGTTAAAGCAATACATCCACCAGCATACACTACTATAGTGAAGCAGTTAAGATTCGTAATCAAACTAAAACAAAGGCTACTAATAAGGATTAAATAGAAAGAAGACATGCAAACGTCAGAACGACGATACACGATGGGAGAAGGTATACACCTCCGAAATTAGTTGAAATATTCAAATAAGTCTCAGTAGAACAAATCTATTATTCAAAAGGGATCTTCACATAAACCGTTCTTTCACAGATGTTTTACCATAGTTTCGAATTCTTCAGCATTCATGGCATTAACAAGGATAGGGAATTCATAACTTAAGTTTACGATTACGATGCATTTAACGCTTAGCCTACACAGATGTATAGATATATGCCATTATATATGCGAACGACACCACTGCAGTTATCAGGGAAAATTGGCAACATTAAGCAACATCAAAGAGGATTAAGGCGCGGAGAAACACTAGAAATCTATGGAAGTGATGTAAGAGGAAATCTGTAAAGAGGAAGAAGTACCACTGGGAATGGTTCTGTAAGGATACCTTGAAGATGAGAGGGACTTGGGGGACAGATGATGAATTAGAAAAAAAGGTGAACAACAAAAGAAAAATCTGGGTTCGATCTAGAGTGTTCTGGATAAAACAGTGAAGAAGTGCATCAGAACAGACGAAAGACGGTTCTAAGACAAAGTGGCAGCTAAAGCAGAAGAGACTACAAGTAGGGGAACACTAGATCAGATAACTAGGTCTCTATCAGGGGAGAGATCAACACCAGTGGAACCAATGGAAGGTAGTGAGAGGAATTTAATTACCAAAGATATGAAACAAAGAAAACAATGGGCTGACCATATCAAAGAACTCCTGAAGTGATCACCACTTACAACTCGTCTAGAAAGACCGCCGACAATCACAGAAATGTCAGCAAACACAGATCCCCAGACGAAATGAGGAATCTCGAATGCCACCAAGCTACTGAAAGTCAAAAACGTAGCTGGACAGGATGGAATTCCTCCAGAAGCACTGAAAACGGATCCAGAGACTTCAGCTGATATGGTCACACCATTATTACAGAAAGTCTAGTATGAAGAAAGATACCTATTGATTTGAAGGGCTGCCTTGTAAAGCTTACAAAGAAGGACGACTTACGTCTCTACAAAAACTGGAGCGGAATAATGCTCCTATCTATGGCAAGCAAAAATTAAGTTGAATGCTCCTGAAGAGGCTAGAAGATGCTCTGAACGCAAAATCTTACGTGGATAAAAATGGATTCAGAAAAAAACAAATTATGTGGGGATCAAATGGCAGTGCTATACATCATCGTAGAACGGAGCATAGGATTGCAGTCAAGTCTCTACCACAACTGTACCCACTTTTAATTCGAAAGCGTTGACTATGAAGCAATTTGGAAACTGTTTAGATAAAATGGACTGCCCCCAAACATTTGAAAACCTCATTCCATAGCTGTATGGTGATGCCACATGTCAAATCATTAACAGTAGAAGGCTCGATGAAGCCTTTGAAGATGGGAATAAAATAAGCTTGTCTACTATCAGTGATGGTGTTTGTAATTGTGGCGGGCTGGATCATGCCGTAGACTGTGGAGAGCTTGAAAACATCCAAAAGTCGCAGTGACAGAAGACACTGAAAGATGTGGACTTCGCAGGTGATCTGTAGGCGAAACGCCACAGGTTAGCAGAAGAGGCAGAGAAGGTAGGACTTTGACTGAACACAGAGGAGGTAGAGATGATGAAAATACCTGACCTACAACAAGCACCAATCCTTGTCAACGAGAGAAATTTGAAGAGACTCACCCCTTTTACTTATCTAAAAAGCATCGTTCGAAATTCAGGCAGGACAGATGACTTTCAGGAAACCAAGATGGACCTTCATTACTCTGAAATCATTGTGGGAATCTGCTGCTCGTGGCGTACCGACCAAGACAGGAACTTTTAAAACTGATGCCAAGTCACTGCTTCCGCATGGTTCAGAGACTTGGCGCATCACTGAAATTATTTCCATCTGTAGACATTTATCAAAACCTTACCTCTTTACTGGGTAGGGAAGATAAGGTGGTTGACTGGAGATGTTAATAATAACAGCTTTATTCTGGACAAAATGTTGACACAGTGTACAGAATTCTCACGGTAGTTTGTTGCAAAATATCTGTAGAGTATAATGTGACGCAGTGCTGTTCAACTTGGAGGGCTGATCAGCAGATTATGATATTTTCCCTTCATCTATGAGAGAAGTTCACCAGCATTTTGATAGCTAATTAGAAATGTGCATGAGCATATTTCTTGGCTCAAGGACATAATTAAGTGGTTAAGACAGGAAGAAATAATGAGTATATGATACACTGTGTCGGATGGAATTTCGGGTAGCTCATTGATTCAGGTACTCAACACTCAACATAAAGAACAAGATTCGGATTTTCCACACAAATGTGAAGTCAGCCAGTCACTTATCCTATACGGGTTAGAAACTTGCACTGCGTGTCACAAAAAGGATTTCCAACAGGCAGCTGCAGACCTTCATCAACAAATGCCCACTTCGCTGCCTCCATATTGAAAATCAAATGGCCATGACGAACTAGTAATAAGAAGATGTGGGAACAAACCGACGAAGAGCCGATCGCTCAACAAGCATGTAGGTGAAGGTGGAGGTGGATCAGGCATATTTTGAGAAGGTCATCGAATGAAATCGCGTTGAATGCAGGCCATCTCTTGAGTGGAATCCCAATGGGAGGCGATGAGTTGGTCATGAGTATGAGGATGACATGGAGGAGGTCTTGGGGTGTGAGGAGGAGACAGGAGACTGTGGGCAATAGTGGACGCAGGTGAAGAGGATGGCTGAAAATATAAGAAAGGGGATATGTTTTGGCGAAGCCCTATGTTCCATCCTCAACCTAAGGGAATTATAATAATGATCCAAGTATAGGGCTCTGACAGCAGTCCAACCAAGAACTTAGTGCCTAACAAATACGCAGAGGGAAATGGAGATGGACTGAACATAGTCTGAGGAGACCATTGAATCACTTCTGTCGCTCAGCCTTCTGGTGGGACCCAGAAGGAGAAGGATGTGTTGAGTGTCCGAGAGTGAAATGAAATAGTTCGCGTCAGGAGTAAGTGATAATTTGTGGGTGATCAAGCAGCTAGCTAGAGCAGACAGCAGAGAACACAATTAAATAGAGAAGCACTACTGCCTAAATCATATGTTCCACTCGGAACCCAAGGAAATAATAATAAAAGAATAAAAATGTCTATCCTAATTCATATGATTTTCAGCATTCCTTATGTATAAAATAACCCAAAGTTTAGGTCGTTTCTAAATATTTTTCAGTTATTTTGAGAGATACTTCACATGAAATATTTACCTAGAAGCTGCCTGATATAATACCTACCTATTACTGAATGGTGGCCTAAGACTGAACTTTTTTTGAAGTCTAAAACTAAAAGCGTTATCAGTAAGAAGTAATGAATTTCATCTTAATTCTCTGTCACTCTGTGTGTGTAGAGTTTCCGGTTGAAGAGTTCTACAGAAATTTGATGAATTCCGTAACTTCAGCTTTATTAAGTTTTTGAGCACAACCAGGGATTGATATCAGTTTGAGAACCATTGAAAATCAGGGTGTGCTGGGTAGCTGTTTCATCCTATTTTTTTAGGGATCATTGGCAGTACACACCCACTAGGACTCAAACCCAGAACCTCCCAGTCACAAGGCAAGCTTGGATACAATTCAGCTACCGGGACCCGATTCAATGACCAGTCCATAAATTTTAACTTCTATCAATTCTTGATTTTAGCGCGACTATCAACTAGTGTCATCGGCGGGAAATCCACCCTGATGAATCCCAAAAAGCTTGGATGAAACAGCCATCCAGTAGTCCTTGATGGTTGTTAATGGCTGTCTGAGTGTATCAATCCTTGGACGAATTTGAGAAACAAATCATATCCTTACAATTAATTTGTATTGCTTGTTTTAGAAAGTAGTTAATATGTCATTTAGCATGGACACCTACAAATGAATGATTTGTAAATGACACTTAGATTCCAGTAGATAGAACAAATATTATAGGCTATAAAATAAATTTCAGCATCATGCTGAAAAAAGTAATAAGTATCTCAAAGTTAAAAATCGTCAGTGTGGTACAGTAGGAGATAGATTCCGAGAGCATTAACGACAGAACTCTTAAATTATACCTCAATATCGAATCAATATTAATCAATTTTCTGTATTGAAATGTTTGCACGTGTAATGATCTTTTCTTGAATTTCTCCTCTTTTTCTTTCTAAAATAACATATAATCCCTGACATTCCATCAGTTCCTTGTTGATGCGTGAATTAACTTTACGATCAGCTATCAGTTTTGGTAACTGCCATTTATTACGTATGTTCTGTGATGAATATTTATCCTACCGTCTAGAACAAGTTGCTTCAAGTCCATTGACAACTTTACCTAAATCTATAAATGAATCATTACCAATTATATCATATACACATAAAAATCATAATAATAATAATGATATTACTCATATTGCTAACATTTCCGCTACTAATATGCAAGGAATAAATAATCAAAGTAATAAAACAGGAAATATGCCTGAAAATACCTTTAATCCTACTATATTACCCGATCCTTTTGAATCTACGTGTAATGAGGATGAAAATAAGGGGGACAGTCAGTGTCACACTACTATTGTTAGTACTACTTCTAATGAAGTCAGTAGTGAAGATTGTAACATTAACGATGATGATATATTAATGGAAAATTCAAATACCACCTTATTGTTGTCATCAGTTAACAATAACAGTAATAATAATAGTAGTAACTATTTTGAATATATGGATGCACAGATTTTATCAAATCATGATAATGTGATTGTTGATGATGATGTTGATGTTGATGATGGTGGCGATCACGATGACGATGGATTATGCAGTAATTTATCACCACATACTTTACTACAAGAGAATGTCACTAACTCAGACAATCTGTTATTTTGTAATATGCATGAAAATGAAACCGATGACATAACGATTGTTGACGATACTAGTGGAAGTAATATTTTGGACGTTAGTGATAATAACTCCAATAGTAAATGTATAAAAACTAAACAAGATGCCTCTGTATTGGACACATCAAACAGCTGTGTAAGTATCATATAACAACTTTTATACTAACTATTGCGTATTTCACGTATCTACTGGTTTTATTATTTGTTTGGTTTCAGCTAGCCAATAGACTACAAAGTATCGGAACATCGTGAAGCAATATACAGTCCAGTTTGATTGATGACCATTGAACTTGTATTTTTACAAGTGTTCATCAAAATGTATATTTCAATTAAGTAAAGTCATTTTTAGACTATGCAACGATGTTATGAGTAATACTACAGCTGTATGATATTATGTAATCACATTTTCATTTTTAAAATACTAAATCAGTATCACCTTCAATACTGATCACGAATTTGCTTCAGTTACGCAATCAGTGGAAGCCAGGTAGTTGTGGATTTCTGTTTCTTACTTGTTTCGGACTCTTAAGTTGCACGCAACGATGACCTCAGATTTCAGGGGTTGAACATAGAACTTTGCGGTTACAATGTGATCTTTCTGATTGTTCAGCCGATCGGATGGAATCCAATAACCCATCACTTTTAAATTCTCACAATTCACGATGTATACTGCGATCGCTAACCAGTGTCATCAGTAAGTGTTTGTCTTCACTCCCAACTTGATGTGCCCTACTGAACACAACTTCTCACTACAATTTCAAGTAATTTCATTCTACAATGTGCCACTAGTGAGACCTAGATTAATTTTCAAGCTTTCTTTGGTAGAGATTCGCTCATTTATGACTGATTACAAAACGAATTCGCCTGAATTTGTTTTGAGATGTCGCGATCAGCGGGGTCCATCGAGTTGTGTGTGTGTGTGTTTGTGTGTGAAGAAAAACACTTGCTGTTGACACTGTTTTTAACGGATGGGATTGCTAGCCTCACGATCAATCTTCCCCACTCCCTGGATTTACTACTGGGCTGGCAAACTTGACAATGTTTCGGTGTGCATCGGTCGGATATATATATATATATATATATATATATATATATATATATATATAATCTGTTTATTAGCGATAAAATGAGAATTTTATATTCAAACGAAAATTCGTATCAATACTATTGGAGGATATATATTTACTCGCAGTTTTACTAGTGTTTGGTATCTAAGTCGCATTATTCACGTTATAACTCTTAAGGTAATTGTTAATTTTGTCAGAGCAGGCTGCTAGCCATTTGGTAGACATTAATTTACGTCAATGTCGCTAATATTGTCCGTGAGAAAATATGAACAAGACTGATTCAGCAACCAATCACAGCAGATTTAACGTGGGCAGATATGATTCACAGATATATGGCTTAACTTTCTGAGAAACCAGTCACAAGCAGTGCAGAATAACCTTGAGCACGAAACAACCAATCAGAAGACTGAGTTTGTCTGCTTGAATAAGCTATAATAATGTACATGAAATATATATAAATACGTGCTGATTTCCGTAATAAAACAGTCTGTTGCGTGGCCCTTGTCTTCTGTTGTTACATTAAGAATACACCATAATGTATATTCATCCTAATAATGTTTATGCCTTTTCCCCATTCTTTCTATTTTTATGTTAATATGAAAATTGTGAAATATAGTTCTCATTTGGCTTATGTAATGACCCAGTGCTAACGGAAACAACTGGCCTAAACAGTAATAATAATGATAATAATAATCATGGCAGTAGTGATCATAACCTTTATGGGAAGAAAATGCTTGCAAATAACGCCTTCCTCGATGACGATGATGATGCTGTCAAGAATAACTGGTCTTGCCTACGCCAAGATGAATCTGTAGATCAATATTCAGATAAAATTTCTCCAAATTATGATAAAATGATGTTTACTTCCTCTTCTTCTTCTTCCTCTTTAACAAAGATTAATTTAAATACTGAAAACAATCGAACTCCTTTTAGTGATATTACAAACTATTTATTGTATGATTCAAGAACTAGAACTGATACTACTACTAATAATAATAGTAATGTTTTAACTACTACTAGTAGTTGTGGTAGTAGTAGTATAGTTTCAACACAATCTTCATGTTCACCATCATTTTCTTCAAATCGTTCACATCGTAAATTATCAAAACCAAATAGACTACACTTACATATAGTTGATACACCATACGATGAAGACGTCTTATTAGATAATTCTTTCCCTAACTTCAATATTCAATCTTCATTCAAAAATGATACAATCGATTGGTCGAAATCAAGTATGGAAATTGAAAACACTTACAGTAATAATAATACTACCACTAATAATGCTAATAATAACATTAGTGTTTCTACAAAAGTGAATAAAAGTTTTCTAACGCTATCATCATCAAGTCATGTGGAGAAAAGGATTATAGCTGCACTACGTGATGACTTACCAAGATCAAGTAATAGTCATGTAAGATATAAAGTAAATCTTTCATAATGATAATTTCATTTTTATAACTATTTCTTTGATTATAGCGAATGAATTACCTGGGATATCTCATGTGTGATCATTTATATGTTCAAAGTTCATTTTTTTGAATAGATATCGACACAGTTTTCTCCATAAGTTGAGTAATTATTATAAGGTATTTATTTAATTAACATATCAACTTACAAACCTTGTGGAAGACGTACGGGAGTTGGATTGAACACCCTTATAACAAATTAATACAAGATGTAGTGAAACTACAGTAAACGAAAATGTATGAGAAATAGCTATGGTACAGACAGTCTTCAGATATTGATTATTAGTGTTCCAAGGCTACGAAACAGACTGTATGAATCTCGCTATGTGACTCATACCAAGTAACAAAACTTCATAGATTAGTTTCATGTTAGATAAGTTTATTTTAATAATCACACAGTGATTCAGTATTAACGACTGGATGACAAGGTTTCGAGCTTAAATTATTACTGCTCATTATTATTATTTCCTTTAATTCCTAGAGGAACATAGGGCTTCAGACAAACGTCTCCATTGCTTTCGGTTCTCTGCCAAAGTTTTCACCTAGCTCCAAGTCTGTCCACATGCTTACATCTCCTCTTCACATGACCTCCTCCAAGTCACCCTTGCACTGACGACCAACTCGCCGTTTTCCTTTCGGGTTCCATTCGAGCGATGGCTTGTCTAGTGATGTCATTTGACGGTTTCTTCAGAGTATGGCCACTCCATCTCCATTTCTTCCTGCCTATTTGTTGCATAATCGTTTCCTGGTTGGTTCGCTCATTGCCAGAAATCCCTGTTACCGATCCTTTTTTAGCTGTTCATCTGATCTTTAGCGAAGTAGTGAGCGAAGACAGCTGTTAACGAAGGTCTGTAGTTTGTTTGAGATGCTCTTTCCGATTCTGGCTTTGATATCCTCGTCAGTTCCGCCTGTGGTTGAAACGATGCTTCCCAGGTTTCACAGTTTGTGTTATATAAACTTTCTCTCTTTCTCTCTATCCAGCTTCCCAATGTAACTTTTTACCACTTTCCGTATCTGTAGTATGGGCGTTGCATCATTCCGATCGCACGTGTGCGGTGTTGAATCCATAAACATAACTTCACTGAATAACCACTTTCTCCACTCACAGGTCTACGCGCTATAGAATCTGTCTACAAAACTGATTTTTACCATATTGAAATAATCTAGAAAAATTTCAGAAATCATGCCAAACACTTCATATCAAATGGTATCTAAATTGTGTGATGAATAGGAAAGGTAGAGTGAAACGGCATTGTTGACGTAGTTTCAACAATCCTCCACCTCCCTCATGAAATGATAAAATCAGCACGATTGTGATGAGCGATTTCATTAGGCAGACACATGCTGCTTTTATGATTTTATACACTTATCAAATCCAACAATCTACACTTGGTTCTGTTATCTTTACCAACTGACCAACTTGACAACGTAAACAAAATTACCCCAGGTTGATGAGTGATGATTAAGTTATTATAGATAATCTGAGTGGATTTTGTAAATTCTGGTTTAATATTACTACACTGATAAAGCTATTGACAGCAGCCGTAAATAGGGAAACGTCAGTGAAAGCAACAAAATCGTTTTGTTTTTCGTTCATAGGGAAATATAAAAACATTCATAATAATGAATACCATCTACCTGATGCCTCAATTTTTTCATACTTTTAGAAATGAACTTGGACATATATAACTACGATTATAATCATAAATATTTTTGTCGTAGTTCATTTGTTTTGATTTACGTTATGTTAAACGTTTGACTACTGAATATATATAAAGCAGCTATAAGTCACATATTGAATATTTTCATTTTAGACACCACGGAAAACGGTACGTATCACCACTGGGTCAGATGAAAAATAGAATTTTGAACTTTCTTGTTGCCTTCATTGTTTATTAATTAATTAATTTCGAGAATATTAATGCTTTTATGAAGATATATTTCATTAGTATTTAACTTCAAAGAAAATAACGCAAAAACCACTTAAATGTTTGTTACTACAGATATTTTTTGCTCATTTTTGACTAACAAATTGAACAAATATAACGTTTTTTTAACGATACATCATTTTTTTCTGAATAAACTATTTTAGATGATTGTATGAAAGCGTTAAGAAGTAGCAGATGTAGATTTCGCGTTCATCATTATTTATTAGCGAGGTGTTTCTGCAATCTCATGTCCAATCTGAGATACGAACACGGGTTATCCTTTTCATTAGTCAAACACGCTTCCACTGACACATTCAGGTTCGCGATTGACCTCCTGTCGGTATGTAAGGGATACCTTGATTGTGTACTAGACAGTAACCTATATCAAGCATCTGGCTCTTGATTCGGTGCAAACTGAATTCTCTCAGTCACCCATTATGCTAAATTTATGATAGATAACTATTTTTCAAGTTAGACCACTGTTTTATATCAGTTAAACAACCGTTGAAAACCACAGTGTACTGGAAAGCTGTTTAGTCCTAATTTGGGACTCATCGGCAGTAAGCACACACCAGAGCCTTCCATTTGTGAGGCAAGCTTGTATTCCATTCAGCCACTGGTACCCGATTCAATGGTCTATATATCCTGATTCATGTCAATTCGTGGTCTAATCCGAAAAAGAAATCAAATCCTTACAAATCAACTCTTGAAAATAGATAATCATATTTCATTTCCTTTAAAACACAAATCAGAAAAAATAATGGATAATCAAGGTTTATATGGTAAGACATCTTGTCACTGACCTATTTTGGCTGGTAGACTGATGAAGACGAGAGAAAATTCGGACAGTTATGATAACTCAGTGTGTGAACATGAGATACATAATAAAGACTATGAAAATTGTCTATTCAAAAGGTTCTACGCAGATTAAGAATATTTGAAAAGTATTTAAACTTAGATGCTAACAACCTAGGTGATTGTCATCGAGTTTTGCCAGTTAAACTGCATTTTCCGTGCTTCATTGTCACTGTAAAGATTTAAATTAGCACAATACAGTTGTGTTGGTAATCCTTGATTTTTAAAGTTTGTTTACAGATGGCTTCATTAACCGAGAAAATACTAATAGATACACAATGAATCAGTGTTTAAGGAACATTCGAAAATCCCAGATTTATAAAATGCATACAGGAGATGAATAATTGCTTCTCCGACAGATTTATGGCTGTTTCACTGCTATTTTTAAAATACACCTTATTATATTTTATTTGTATTTTAACTGTGATTAAAGGTGCCTGTTTATAAATTTCAAAAAACTCTAGTGAACAATGAATATTGTTCTCGATAACTTCACCAGAGTCTGTCTGAATATATCCATTGTAATGTTTTAATTTTATCGCAGTGGAACATAGGGCTTCAGTGTATAGCTTTGAAGTTTCATTAATAGCGCTGCGGTTTTATGGGAATGGGTTGCTAGCCTCACACACACAATTCCCTCTTTACTAGACTTACGATCGGCTGAGCTATGATTAGGAGTTAGTTGGCTGGGGTCGGACCCTGGACCACAAACTTGATTGGCCAGTGTTCTACCACTGCACCGCCGACATATATATATATATATATATATATATATATATATAATACTCGAAGAATAATTGTTAATGACACCTTCGTTGTATTGTGAATAATAAAATTATTCTATTTGATAACTTTTCCACTAGACCTTAGTTTTATATTTATAATAATTAAATAATTATTGTTATAAAGAATATTAATGTTTTAAATAACACAGAATCATTAAAAGTAATAGATTACAGTTGAAAACGTGTATACAACAATGTGCATAAACATACTACTAATCTGAGTAACATACGAATAAAGGAATATAAAAAAGTATTTATGAATTTGTGGATTCCATAGCAGGCCAGCCTAATTTTTGTACGTGGAGCTCAGGCTTTATTAGGCTAAAGTCTATGGCTTCTTCTGTTTGAAGTATTTGGTGTCTGGAGTCCAGTGAATTAGGGTGAGTCAGTAGGAAGATTTTAGAAGATCGTGAATTTACGAATGATATATTTTTAACATGTCACAAACTCAAAGAATTTACGGGCGAAGGCCAGACGTTGGCAGAAGTAGCATTGAGCGCAGAATTTCAAGTAAGCATAGATGAGAAAGAGGTGATGAGGATACCAAATCAGCAGCAATCGACAGTATCATTGATGATCTATTGGAAAATCTAAAAGAAGTCACCTCCTTAATACTCCTGGCCAGAAAATATGGATTTAACGATTGCGAAGTCAAATGCAGAATGAGGGAAACGACACAGACTTTGTCATCACTTCGAAATCAGTGTAGAAATCTACTGCACACAAAATAAGGAACAAGATTCGTATCTTCAACACTAATGACAAGTCAGCGAGTGCTTTCAGGTGATCCAAAGACGTGGTGCGTTACAGAAAGCACTTCCAACAGGCTACTGCTAACTTTCATCAACATGTGCCTCCTTTATTGGATGCTGAAGACCAGATAGACAGAAAGGATGATCAACAAAATACTCTGGCAGCAAACCATCGAATGACCTATTATCCAACAAATATGCAGTAAAGAATGGAAATGGAAGACGACGAGTTGAGCATCAAAGGGTGATACGAAGAGACAGCTTAATGCACATGATAGATTATGAGAGTACGGACATCCAGCTTATTTAGACTAGAGAGAACAGGAT